AGAACTCCTGCAACTCATGACCGAATTTTCAGCCAAAAAAGAAAAAATTCCGAAAATTTTGAAAATTGCAATTGCGGCGAAAAAAAAAAAACTCACTCAAAAAATAAAACAGCAACCGAGGAAAAAAAAACCCCTCTCAGGAAAAAACCTAAAACGTCGAAAAATTCAGCTAAAAAAAAACTTGGAAAAATTAAAGCATGTAAAGCAAAAAATTGCGGCCTGAGAGGGACGACAGAAGGCCAGGAAAAAGGGATCCTAGAGGAAATGAACAGAGAATAACTGCAGTATTAACTTATCGAATTTGCTGGAAAGTGTCCAGAAATGCGCAAAAATACTGAAGAAAAAATGATCCAACACAAAACACAGAACGCATTTGGCCCTCTTTTGCATTGCCCATTTTTGGACAACGCAAAAGAGAGTTTTTAAAGGAGAGATTGGGCAAAAATGGGCGAGAAGTGGCCAGACCAATGAAGTGGAGGGGGCTGAAAGAAAACTTAATATGTCCGATGATGCCAATGTCCAAAAACGACTACAAAAAATGAAGGACACTTTTTGCTCATATCCGTAAAACGCATGTAAAAAAAATCCCTACAAGAAACAAGAAAAAAGTGGAAAGATGCACTGCAGATGCTAATGTTTTAAGCATGAAAATATCATGATAATTGTTGCAAAAGTGATAAGCGATAACTATAATGATCATTACGCTGATAGCGATAATAACGATGACGATGTGTTACACAAATAATGTAATACCAATGAGGGTGCCACCAATTGTATGCTGTGTAGAGTTTCGCGTTTTCTTTCCGATCATATTGCAACCGCAAATACGTTAACAAGTGTTACAACCGTTTTGTTTTCCCATCGAACCGAAAACGATACTGAAAATGAACCAACCGGATTAGCTCGCTGGTCTGAATAAAAATTACTTTCAAATTCTCAATTTTCTCATCCATTTCCAATACAGCTCAAACCCAACCCTCTAAGAATCGTACAGAAATTAAGCGTAGAAACGATGAAACAAGCGCTACGAAATACAATAAAAAGCGGCCTTTCCACTCTTTTTCTTCCTTTAACCCTTCGTTTTTCATTCCCGTCTCTTCCTTTCCCCTTTGATTCTCTCATTTAGTTCAATTGTCCACAGAAGCATAATGGCCATCTCTCGAAACAAGTGATTTCTCGTAGCATTAAGATTGAAACTGAGGAGGCATCGTCGAAAACAATCGAAAAATGAGTAATTATACCCAGGGAAATTATTATACCCAACCAGGGAAGAATGCAGAAAAGCTGGGACACATTTAGCTACCTCAGATGGTGAAAAATCGAGTTCATAAGTGAGAAGCTGAAATATCAAATCCAGGAAAAGCCATGAGGGAAGTAATTTTATCATGATAATCCGCCATTTTCGAAAGAATTGCGTAAGCGTTCATTTCAGAGGCAAGAAGTGTGGCAATATTAAAACGATTTCGAAAAGCCTCCAACCCCTTAAAAAAAGAAATCGTACTGTCCCCGCTTTTTTGTTCCCCCCCCCGCCTCCCCTTCCTCACTTTTATAAAACCAGTGAACAATCCTCATTTCTGAGTATGGCAGATAGACGCATCCAAAACAACCGAACTAGGTGAAAAAGTTTTTGCGGATGTTGATGGCCATACAGTAATTTCTAAAGCACTGGCAGGTAAGGATCATGTAAAGTACGAGACGGGCGGAATCCTCAAAATTTAACCAGGGGGGTGGGCGGGTAGGGA